ATTTAATCAAACCATTACTAATCCACAGTTTTACCGTGACATTAATAAGAGGTCTGTTTATGCCACTTGGAAGCTCTACAATTACCAGCATATTTGTAATTGCCAGATAGGCTTTTACATGTACGAACTTAAGACATTCCAGCAAGTTATCGGCACAGAACTTAATATGGAAGAAGCACTTTTTTTTTAAACAAAAGTGCACTTTTCCAAACCAAAGGTCTTTTAAAGCACTATATGACAACTATGATAATTTTATTTCTATTTAGAAATCTCAAACTTTGATATACTGAAGGGCTGGATACCCCAATGCTTTTTTAAAATTGACAACTGAAGTATTTGCCCAGTAGGGAACCAAACATGCTTTAAGAAACAAAAATATGTAAAGTCAAAATCGCAGAGATGTTTTCACTCTTTTGTATAACTCTTGGTTTGCCTCACTTCCTTTGTGATATTTGTAGGGTTGTCAATGGACATGTGTTAATGCAGGGCAGGATTAATGCGTTAATTTTTTAAACATGTTAATCACAGGCATTAATGCTGCACTGTTCCTTTGAACTGCTGCTCCAGCGCTTCAACAGGGCAGTGCATCATGGAGCCCAGGATCAACTGGAGAGTCCCCAGCTGACCCTGGGCTCCATAGCAGCTGCCCCTTTGAAACACCAGAGGCAGCATTTTAAAGGGGCAGCTTCCGTGAAGCCCAGGGTTAGCTGGAGAGTCCTCAGCTGCCCCCAGGTTCCACTGAAATGCCGCACAGAACGCTTTGCGCTGTCCCTTAGAAAAGCCATCCTGGCTCTTCAAAAGGGCAGTGCTGTATGGAGCCTGGGGTCAGTTGGGGACTCCAGCTCATCCCAGGCTCCATGCAGCACTGCCCTGTTGAAACGCCACGGCTTTTCAAAGGGGAGGCATGTGCAATTAATCACAATTACATTTTTTAATCATTTGACAGCCCTAGATTTTTGTGCACCATCATCCTATACTTCACTACACAGCTGCCCACAGAGCACAGCAAGAAAAGGAAGATAATAAGGAAGAGTTGTTCTGGCATAAGAAACCAAAATTAGGAAAGAAGATCCAGAAAGAGAAACAAAAAGGGAGCAAAAGGAAGCAAGAGAATAGAAAGCAAAAGCATCAAAATAAATGTAAATTGAGTACATTTGTTAGTTAATAGCGGTGCTGAGTTTTCTTAGTACAGTAGACTTCTAATAATCCGGAACCTATGGGACCTAGGTGGTGCCGGATTATCAGATATGCCGGACTATCAGGAGGTACTATAAGATGGATGGGTGGGTGTATGTGTGTCTGTGTGTGTGTACACACACACTGTATACGTTATATACTGTATATAAAGTGTTCTTAACCCTTTTGATTGTACATACTATATACAGTATACTGTAATGTTTTATTTATTTAAGCCTTTTTTTTTTTTAACCCTTTTTGCTCAGTTCAGCTGCTGCCGCTGTTACCTTGTGACTCATTTTTTGCTGAAGCTCACTCACTAGGCTCTTGCCATTTTGATGCTGGACTATCAGGCGGGGTTTTACTGTAGATGGCTTGCTGAAATGTACATGTTGCGTAAGAAAGCCTTCAGGGTGGGGGTTGGTGAGGTGTCAAAGAAAAGTAAAGTATTAAGGATGTTAAATTGTAGATAATCAGCTAACCAAGTAGTTGATGGAAATTCCATTGACTATCTGATTAGTCGAAAAGTGGGCAGGAGTGCTTGCTATCCCCACTGCAGCTCTGCAGTTTAAATGTAGTAAGAGTTTGGCTCTTACTACATTTAAAAAGCAGAGCTGCAGCGCCGCTGCGTCTCTGCCTTCCCTGACCCATCCCCACCTGTGGAGACGGTACTGGAGGGAACCAGCTTTTAAGCCAGCTCCCCCAGCACCGGCTCCTGCTCCCCGCCCTCACTACCTCTGATAGAGAGATGGATTGGGAGGTGGGAAATGCAAGTACAGTAATTCCTCATTTAACACTATAGATGAGTTTCTGAAAATGTTCGTGCTAAGCGAAAATGTGCTATGCAGGGTCAATTTTCCCATTTAAAAAAATGGAAAAGGTGGGGGTTGCATTTCAGGTGGTGGTGGCGGCAAAGTCAGGTTTTTGTTGGTGCTGGGTTGTCAACATCAACATTAGATATCTAGCAACACAAGATAACTAGCAACACAAGTCACCGCGGTTTGTTAAAACACAAAGATAAACACTTGAGTGAGTGGAGGAGTGCTGTGACCACGTGTATTTATCCGCTCACGCATATTACCATTTTCACCAACTTATACCACTACGCGAAGTAGTCTGCCACTTGATTATTTTCGTGTTATTTCAAGGACGGTAATGTTATTCGAAAAACGTTCCCAAAAAAATCGTGCTATTGCGAAAACGTGTTAAGCGGGCACGTGTTAAACGAGTAATTACTGTATTCACCTTGACTGCTCTTTCACATCCCTAGGAAGTATTAGTGCAGAATATTACGAATTGATTAAAGAAACAAATAGCTTTCCTTATTCTATTCCTACAGAGCTCAACAGAATCCAAGCTCTCTAACTCCTTAGCTAGTTTATGTGGAAATATGTAATGCTATAATAAAATGTTCTGGAAAGGTTAAAAACAGTGACACACCATATTTAAAGAAAAACACCACAATGCAACGTAATAGCAGTGATGCTATGGTTCTCACCTATTTATAAATTAATCTCAATCATTAAAGCACAAATAAATTAAAATAAATCACTTATTTGGATATTAGGGCTGAGGTTATCAAAGCTGCCTCGAATTGGATGCCTAGCTACCATCATTTTAACAGGAATTTGATGTCAAGACCCTTTAAGTGGCTTTGAAAATCTGAGCCTAAATGGGCTCAGATGGATTATTTGATGATTACCTGCTCTGTTCATTCCCTCTGGAGCACCTGGCCTTTTGCTACTGTAAGAAAACAGGATACTGGGCTACAGGGACTTTTTATCTGACTTATGGTGGCTGTTCTTATGTTCAGCCCCGCTCTTAAGTTCAATTACTGTGAAGACAGAAAACTGATAGATAATTAAATGGAATTTAATTGATCTCTGACCTCCTGTCTTTCCAAACATCACAGCTGTGTTACTATGTACTATCAATTCAGATGAAGCTTTGTTACATGGATGACATGTTTACACGAATGGTGTTTGCTGCTGTTAGTATCCCCTACGCAGACGTGCACCAGTCCTCCAAGAAGACAGCAACATCCCAAGCTATAAAGATGAGAGCAAACAAACTTACATATGGTACCTTCCCTTTATCAAAGTGCTCAATATTTTGAAACAGCAGAGAATGAAAACCTTCTGTGTATCGAACTGAATAGGGCCAGAATCTTCATAAGCTTAATTCCTTTGCCTGTGTCACAATTGGGATTTTATGAATGTTGCACGTCATTTTTGTAATAATGGGTAGAAAGGGGGGAAAAAAAAAATCACATGAGATATAAAAAACAATTTTAAACAGAAGATGTGTCTTGCTTAGCTACTGTGCACTGCTATTTATTTCTATCAATTAAATGGATTTTAAACACTTCTTAGACTCACCCTTTAAAAATACAAATCTTAGACCATTTTTTTTTGTGGGCAATGGTAACTTCACACTAATTTTTATTAGGACAATCTGAAAACCAATAATTATGCTTCTGGGTGGCATTACAAATCATACACACGCTCACATGTATGTTTTTGACATTTTCCATTAACATTTATTTGATCCTTCTTTCTATGCTGTGACTATTTCAACTCTTGAAAGCATGGAAACTGAAAAGACATTTTAAGGATTTCAGTGACTTGGAATAGTGAAACGAACTACCCAAGAAAGTATCCGATCGGTGTGTACACACAACAGGTGGGCAAATTTACAAGCATTTATATGCCCTGACCGTCTTCTTTGCCCAATTGTGATTTCTGAGAATAATGAAAAGTGTAATAATCTCTATGCATTTGCACTCGAAGTGCCAATCTTGTATATCCTATTAATATAAAGACCATCAAGTTGGAGTTGGAATAAATCCTCGCTTATTTACCTTCGAAAGCATGTTTTTATAAGCAAGTTACCATGCTACACTATTCAGACACACAGGAAAAACAAATCTGACATTTAACAGGGATGAACTGACTACTTCATCAAGCTACTTCATCAAGCTATTTCTGACAAACACTACAAGTTGGACCTCCCTGGTCCAGTACCCTTGGTACCTGAGCACACCTAAACAAGGGAGTTTGCTGGCCAGGGTAGGTCAGGCCTTGGACTCTCCTGGGACTCCCCTCCTGGCTGCTGGCCTGGGCCTGTGTGCTGCCACCAGGCCTGCTGGCAGAGCTCCACTCCCAACCACTAGCCCCACTTTGGCCAGAAGGGTTCCCTTTCCCGGCTACAGGCCCCATTCCAGCCAGAGGTGCTCCATGCTCCAGCTGGCCTTGTTCCATGCACCCGACCCCACTCCAGCCAGCAGTGCCCTGAGCCCGACAACCAGACTCACCCCGCCTTCCTGTCCTCAGCCCCACTCATGTCAATGGGACTCTCTGCCCTGGCTCCATTCCAACCTACAAGGCTTTGGACTCTCCCTGCCCCTGGCCAAGAGCTCTGGTCCGACTCCCTAATCCCAGGCCAATGGCAACCTCTGCGACTGGGTCTATCTATAAGGGCAACATATATAGACCTGCCAGACTACAGATGTTGCTGGACCAGAGTGTCCTGGACCAAAGAGGTTCAACCCGTATTACAACCATACTTTTTGAACAAGTAGCTTTTTATTCAGAAGCCTGTCTCCTACCTTTATATCAAACATATTAGCAAAAATTTTAACACCTGCATTGTGAAAGGTCAAAACAGCAAAAGAAACCACAGAGAATTTATACTACTACTGCTCTACAAAAGAGACCTAAAACTTCACACATTCTGAAAAAATCTGTTCTGCTCTTATTTTTAAAATTAAGCTGAAAACTAGGTACAATTTATACAGTTTAAAAATTACTCCCCGAGACCCTCACCTTTAATATGGAGGTGCAGTCCATGGACATTATTGGTCTCATGCAATGTTCCATCTTGTTTCACAACCACTCCTACAGAGAAAACTTGACAATAGTCCATTATTTCCTAACAGATCCTAATCTTGTAACAGCCTGCTTTTTCCTGGGTAAAAGTGTCTTCCCTCTACTCAAAGTCCACTTTTTACTTCCTTCACTAACTTTTTATGAACCTGTCTTTGCTAACTCACCTCTCCTAGATACCTGTATTTGATCTGGCTAAATCTGCTGCAAACTACTCAGGGCACAAGCTTCTGAGGTGCCTTTACTGTGAAGATTATACCACTGAAATGCCAACATTCCAAAGGTTATATTCCCCAAATGATCTATGTAAAAAAGGAAGACCTCCAGATTTTATAGTGAATTAAAAAAAAAAAAACCACTATCATTCTCACATATTACATATTTCACAATATGTTGTGTTCTCCTATCATCTCCACAACAGCAGACATACTAATCCAGAGTTGGTGGGGGTTAATAGAAATGGTAATCACAAAAGCATTTTAACATATCAAAGTCAAGAATAATATAAATGGATTAGCCAACATATTATCTATCTAGAGTCTGCTGTACTTGTAGGATATCTGTCTTGATGAGCCACATGAAGTCTGATCTATATAATAGCTGTTTTGTTTTTAATATCTATAACTTCCAACTTCACTCAAAACGAACTGGAGAGAGGTAATCTCTGTTTACCAAATACAGTGCATTTTTTTAAATAATTGATTAAGCTACATTTCACTTTGCAGCACCCTCTCCTTTTAGTAGTTTCTCTATTAGGTAATTATTTCGCATGAAATACTTAACAGCACAACCAGGATTTAACCACCATATACGAGAAGCATAAGTACAATTCCCAAACTCCAAATCTTTAAAACAGATTTAATTTCTAATTTCTCCATTGGCTGTAAACTAGCACTACATTATTGTTGTTTACTAATCCAAAACTTTATTTATTCAATACAATTTTCAGTGTACATTATCTTTAGCATTTCAACAGTACTTTGTTGGAACAAAACCAATAGATGCTAAAATGTGGGTATTTAACTAATCGAGTAGTTGATAGAATTTTTACTGATTACTTGATTAGTCGTTAGGCAGCCCAGCTCAGTTCTGGCTCATGGTGGGTATGGGACCAAACCCAGCTGTGATTCTGCAATTTAAAAGGCAGTAGGAGCTGAGCAGCATGTCCCTTAGCTGCTACTGCATTTAAATTGCAGAGCTGCAGCAGGGTTTTGTCCCACATCTGTACGAGCTGGAACTAAGCCGGGCTATCTGCCTAGCTGGCAGCAGCCCCTGTGCGTGGGCAAGGAGGGGGTCCCAGCAAGAATTTGGGACTTCCCACGCACAGGGACTCTGCTGCTAAGCAGCCCCTGCCTGTGGCCATGGACAGGGGCTGCTTTGCCGTAGCAGTCCCTATGTGCGGGGGGTCCCAACTTCCCACTGGAACCCCCTGCAGACAGGACTGTTGCCACAAAGCATCCTCTGCCCCCTGACGGAGGCAGCTGCAGGTGGGAGTATGGGCTGCACCGCAGAGACGGTGTTGGGAGGGGGGGAACCAGCTTTTAAGATTCCCCCCCCCCAGCACCAGCTCCTCCAGGGGGGGGGGAAGCAAATAGTCAACTACTCCTTCACATCCCTACAACAGATATTATGAAGAAAATGAACTAATCTAAATATTACAGAACACAATTACTTGATGAAAAAGACACATAAAAGGGTGTTATAAAGGTTGGCAGAGTTAAAATTTTACTTTTTTCCTTCTGTTTGGAAAGGATTTTTTTCCCCTTTTGAATAAGTGACCTGTTCTCTTCCCCTACCTTCCTCCCATTATACATAGCCCAGCTACTCAGATAACTCTGCAGGCTAATTTATATGCAAAGACTGAAAATGTTTTTAATCATTTCATGTACAAGCTTCCAATGAGTTATAAACAATTGTGTTGTGATTTAAAACTAAGAAATAACTTCACTTAAAGAGACACTATTTAACATTTTTCTCATGATTATTTCATCTAAACATTATAAAAGGCAACTAAGTGTATTATACCATTAAGATGAATATATATCTTCCAGGTTTTTTAATTTGTGCCTGAGAGTACTTTGACATAATCAGTTTCACCATTTCTCTGTATAATCAAGCTTCCTCTTCTGTGTATGTTCTTATGCACAAGAGAAAACATTTTTTAAAGAACCAGAAAATTAACTGTAAAACTAAAAAAAGTCAGTGTGACTCAAACACAAGTGTAAATTTAATTTAAAAAATATATATCTAGCTCACAAAAGCTGGTATTCCTTTATGTTTAAAATGGCCAAATACTAGACATTCAGACATGTCCCCTTCAATCTGCCCTTACTTCAATCTCTTCCCATTTCTATTCAGTACATATTATGAGGCATTTACCTCCAAAATTAATGGCGCTTGGGTGTCTCAGACTCATTGGGCAAGTTTCATGCAAAAGCCTCCAAAAATAATTCTCCTTGCAGAATGCCCACCTCGGCGATTATATTACACCTACTGTGAGAGGCCAAAGCCCGGACACAGGAGAAGGCTCATATCCTGCTGTACAAAACAAAGTGTTAAAAACAAGAAACATAAAAATGTAATAAGGGTAAATCTTGCATTTATAATCGTGAAAGACTAATACCCATTACAAATCACACATACAAGTATCTCTATTGAGCTACTGGCTAGAGTTTAACTCAGCAGCTTTTCTTCACTGACAATGTTATAAAATTTTTAGCAGGTTTTAATTTTAAGCAAAAAATTCCTTTAGTTGATATTATAGTAGAATGGTTTAATTTTCAGAACTTGATTACCCATATTAAAATTTTACCAGGATACTGAAAGTAACACTCCTATTGACATGCCCTCTTTTGATATTACAAGCAGTTTACAGCTTCCAGTTTTACATCTCATCTGAAATACAGCACCTATAGCTTGTCAGTGCCCTCTATAGTCATGATGAATTCCTAATGAAGAGGTGATGTACCATCTATTGAGTCACCAACACCATTTCCTACTGTACCTGTTTTCTCCTTGGAGGGCTTCCATCCAAAAACAGAGCCGTTCTTGCAATCTAAGATCTTACAAGATCACATAGCCCAAGGTAATATGGCTGTCTAACATAGCCATGAGGAAACACATTCAGTATGGCAAGTTTCAGATGAGAAGTCTCATTTAGGTTCATAGCTGCTGGTACTAAGATATGTAGTAGATTATGCAGAGTGATGGAATGCATTACACTATGTTCTATAATCCATTTACTGCATTTTAATTCATCTCACTCATTCATGTTAATAGAAGAATTAAGATACTTCTATTTTAGGCATGCTTTGAAGCACAATAACGTTGGTAACCTCAGTGTCGGGAACCAGAAGTGAATAAGATATAAATTAATTGGCAATTAATTTATTAGAGCTTTTCAGACAGAGGAGAAAAAGTATGCCCAATTTTCCTCTATGAATTACTTGATTCAACTGATAGTCTCATGGACTTCAAAATTTTCTGATAACATCCACAAAGTACTGGCATCACTACAGGAACTAGATTAAGTTTCTGGAAATTTGAGGACTAAGTTTATTATGGAAATAAAACTTTAATGGGCTGATACAACAATATAATGCATTAAATACTTAAGTTTAAAAAGACTACTATTGTTTTAAAAACCTCAATCTGTATTATAAAGAAGAGATTTACATTACATACTGGTAAACTGGGCTACTACTAAGATTCAGGAAACAGTTATTTCATTTGAAAAATATTTTCACTATGAACAATAAATATATTTGCGGGCTATACTGGATTACTTTTCTGCCAAGGGACTTCTGATATTTCTGTCAAGTCCAGGTCATCTTATATTCCTCTCTCCCTCCTAAAGACTAATTATGGAAAACACCTGCCTGGCTGAGGACTATTTGGAGCAAATCAGTGACAATTACTACATCAATGTGAAGATGTGACCACAGAGCAAAGCAAGGCACTTGAGCCTGTACCAGGGTCAAATAAGTGAACCCACAAAGACTGAAACTAGTAACCTACATGGTACAAACCATGATCATCATGCCGCTGGCATTTTTCTGAATTTTAAACATCCTGAATAAAAGCTTTCTCCAATAACAGTTTTATTTTACTGACATTTAATTATAGAGTTAAGGGGAATTATTGGTTGTGATATAAACAATACAACACAATAGCATGTATCAGAACTGGCTGCAGCTGCATGCTTCTTAGCGCAATGCATAGAGATATTAGTTTCCTAGAAGACTTCTTTTTCCTTTGGCTTCACTCGTCCTTGTGCATTTTAAATATAGTCTATCTCAAAAGACCCACTTAGTTAATTATGCTCAGTAGCATGCTCTGAGAAGCCAGCCATGAAAGTAGAATGAATAAAATACTATGTTAATACAGTATTACAGCTGAGATTTTTGAACATTCTTTTCTGAAAATAGTAAATTATGAATCCCACAGTAAGAAAAATGCGACCTTCTTGTGCCTACAGACTATTTATCTGTGTACCCTACTGTGCTCTGCACACCATAAGGTGAATGATGGGAGATTTACCAGGAGGGGGCTGGAACACTGGCACCTGAAGGTTCCATAGCAGTTGAGCCAAGAGGATTTGAGGAGCAGGCAGTGACAGCACCAGGAGCATGGGAGACAGCTTGGAGAGAGATGAGAGAAAAGCCAAGATAAAATACGGGAAAAAACACAACATGGTCAGGGACACCACAAAGAAAAGACCAGAGTGACAGAAGCCAGAGAGAAAAGTGGCAGAGGGAGAAAAGCTGACACAGAAACTTCCCTGAAAAGGTAAGTGGGGCTTCTGGATAGCCTTGTTCCTGCACTGAGGGGAATAAATGGTTCGAATCCTGACACAGCCACTATTTATTTCTATTAAATACTTCATTTTTCTCTGTCAGACTACCTCTCATGGGGTACTAAGACAGCTCCAGCTGACTTTCATACACAACACTCATGCTACCTTCTTTAGGGACAACAGTTATATTTCACTCCACTCTTGTCATAAACTGTAACCATTTTTAGCTGGTAAGAGTTCAGTCATGGTAGATCTATCCTAGAATAAGGGTTTGCCTTCACAGAGACAGTTAACTTGAGTTACTCTACTCATGTTAAACTAATTCAAGAGTGGACACACTGTGAACCACACGCTGCACTCAAACTACACAGAGCAAATAGCATAATTATTTGCTATTCCCCTCAATCTGAAAATCTAACTCCAGCTTTAGCCTACAGCACTTAAGTATCAATCCCAGCAGGCCAGCTAGTTCAAGTAAAGCATGACTTAATTCAAACTAGAGATTTGTGTGCATGGATGGGAGTCAGGTTAAGGGTGACTAGAATTATACCTTGAGTTAAGAAGGTAGTGAAGTGCTCAGATTAGTTCAACGGATAACTATGAATGTGAAGGTTTAACCAGTTAATCAGTAAGCCTCACTCTGAATGGGTGAGGCTTACCAGTTAAGGTTAACCGGTGGGGCCGGATCAGCTACTTGCCCCTAGCAGGCCCAAGCACCCTGCAGGCAGGCGCTACTCTGTCCAGGATGCCAGAGAAGTTCCTGTCCATGGCAAGCCATGGCACCTCTCTCACCCCCTTTTAAACAGTTAACTGATTAAACAATATGTTTAATCAGTTAGCCAATTAAAAGGGATTATACATCCCTAGTCCTAACCACATGTATATTTATGCTGCAATCAGAGATGTAATTGCAACACATTAGACATACCAGGCTACATTTAATCTAGCTAGTCCTGATGCCAATAGCAGAGAGCATGCAGCAGAGACCAGCATGGGCTAGACACTCAAGCTTGTCTTTGAGAAGTTATACCAACTTGTCATACCAAGACTTGTCTTTGGGAAGTTAGTCCACACTTGAATCCCATGTTGACATGACTTCACTGCTATCAGCACCTGTGCTAGGTAGATTAAAGCTAGCATGGTATGTCTACAGTTGCACAGCAACCACAAAATCCAAATGCAGTGTAGACATATCTTATGTGCTCATAGGCTGTGTCCACAGTAGGACTGAGATTATGCCAATAACTTTTATAAGAAAATTTGAAAAAAAAAAAAAAGACATACTTTCTGAAAATGTTGTTTCAAATACTAGTTTCAAATACCAAATATCACTAACCGAATAAAGCAAGCTACTATTACTCTATTTGTTCTGTTTACTTTGTACAGTTTACTTCACTATGTATAGTCCAGGAATAATAAATACTCGTGAATTCTTATCGGATACTCAACTATTCTATAGTCCCGGGGGTGAGGCCAGCAGCCAGTGTGCTCAAGCCCTACTCCTGGGGAGCTCCCTTCCACTCCGTGCTGCTGCTTCTGTATCAGAGGTGCCAGGCAGGAGTTGGTCTGCAAGGGGAAACAGTTTAAAAAACAACAGATCCCCTTGCGTACTGGCTGCCTGTCGCCCTGCACTGCTGCCTCTGACACAGCTGGGGTTGCAGCAGCCATTGACCTGAGGGGGAGGAGGGCAGGGAGAGGTCTGAGCTCCTGGACCTTGCGCGAGCTGATACTGAGCTGGGCTGCCTGCCCGCCCACCTATCTCCTAATACACTTTAAATGCAGAGCCGCAGCGGGGTAGGTCCTGGACCCAATGGAAGCCGGGACTGAGATGGGCTGTTGGCCATCCTAGTAAAACATTTACTGGTGGGAGGATTGGGGGGGGGGCACAAGACACACACAGTCTATAGCATTAACCAGTAAACTTTTGCTTATTGGTTAATCAAATATACTATTAGGTCCCTAACAGTCAAGTTCTACCTCCTCCCACCCAACTAATTCAGTTTCTCAACTACTGGAAAGTCCAACTCCCCAAAATAGATGTTTTTAAAATATTCAGAATATAGTACTCAAGAAACGTTTCCAACTGGATTTTTTAAATTAGCTAATTACAAAAATTCAAGTTGCCTGACCCTCTAAACAAATGACTGTTAGTACTGCTTCCCTGACCAATGTGAAGTTCTTCAGTTTCCCATTTTAACTGTTTGTTTATATAGACTTTTTTTTCCATTGGGGGTGGGGGAATGGAGAGCTCATCTACACTCAGCAGGATTTAACAGCACACCTATAAAATCCCTGTGCAGGAAATTCTTATGCATACTGCATTCCCCTACCTAAGACCACAGGAACAGCAATAATCAGTCAATGCTTGAGAAGTACCCTGTTTGCACCTCCGATTTCTTTGGGCTTACAGTCCAACTTCAGGTTGGTCGCTCTTTTGAATAAGTGTCTCCAGCTGCCTGTCATACAAGAATAATTCTCATGAAATACAGCTAAGGTTCTAATGACAGAAGTATCAACAGTGCAGCTGAATTTTTTTCCTCTCTATTCCCCTCTTTAGGTTAAAAATCTCTGTCTCTTGTGCAACCCATAAGACAGAGTTCTTCTATCTCGCACTTTTCATTCTTTCTTGATTTCTGGAATTTTCCACTGGTGCTAAAAGCGCCACCTAGTGAGTGTGTACACTAACTGCATAGTTTGAACAAGAATTAACTATTTCCTTACCAACTGCTACAAAAAATATGTAATGTTAATAATGTTCACATTTTAATTTACTGTGCAACATGGCCAAATTTTCACTGATTTTGGAACCATAACTTTGAATTTCCTGACTTGTGTTTAAAATCTGAACTAGAATGTCACATTAACTTAGTATCAGATGCATCTCACGAAGTGGGTCTTTGCCCACGAAAGCTTATGCTCCAACACTTCGGTTAGTCTATAAAGTGCCACAGGACTCCTTGCCACATTAATTTAACTGTATGGTTTTTTAATCAAAGTTGTTTCTCTATTTATTTGATCATGCAAATATTTAAATATGCAAAGCAGGACTCTTTCTTATATGCCCTACAAATTAATAGCCAAAGCTGTCCACTCTGTATGACACAATATACTTAAGTGTACAGGAAATTTGAAATTGGAGGCACCAAAAATTGAGAAGGTAGATCACCACATCTATGTAGCTCCTTGAATTGATCATTTTAAATAGCCACAGAGATATACTGCATATCCCAATCGCAGCAGAGAAATCAATATGAACTGCACATGCTTGGTATGCCATTCTCACTTGTCCATTGCTACTTCTTAGAGACTTTTACGCTGAATGTAATAAAGTGTGCGAGTCTCAAAAGGGACCATGATTTTCTTATACCATAATTAGTATATAGTTTGATGAGTGGAAAAAAAAGCTAAATGAATTTTCCTAAAGCTTTTGAAAATAATTCTCCTTTGGGTTGAAACTAAATATGAAAAATCCCAGAGCAAAATATATTGTATACTCAGTCATGTGGAATCCTGAAGTGCTCTCACTTGCTGTTTGGAGCATTCTAAGAAGCATCCTGACACCTGTTAAGAATCTAAAGAGCTTACAAAAAGACATTTATTATTACAAAGTGGCACAGAAGTCTTTCTAAATTTAAAACGCAGAAACAAAACATGTACTCTGCATACATGCGATTTGATGTACAAATCCACTACACATTGCTGGGGACTGCTGGTGAATGATGAGAAGCAAAGTACTGCACAGTGTGCATATACTGACATACACACTGGAACTTTACAACCTTGTCAATACCCCAGCCAATGTGTGATATACTCCTTAGATAGTGGATATATATTAAACTGATAAACTAACCAGGTGGCTAGATCTTAGCTAACAGGCTCTCTTTACATTTTAACTAAATAAGTAACAACTCATTCAGCTTTTTCTTCCCCTATAATCCCTATATCAGTGGTTACCAAACAATAGATCAAGATCTACCAGTAGACCTCTTAGCCTCAGACAGATGATCCTGACTGGTTTGGCTGGGAAGCTATCAAGTGCTGGAGCGTCAGTTGCTCCTCAGCCCACTGTCATGCTATTCCAGCCCTCTGCCTTGGAGCTGCCCCCAGGAGCCTCCTGCTTGCTGTGCAAGGTGTGGGAAGGAGGGGGGGGAGGTGTTGATGTCAAGGTGTTCCTCCTCTCCCCACTTTTGTACCCTATCTCCACACAGAGAGAAGGGGATAGAGGAAATTTGGCACATCTGTCACTCTCACACATTGTGTGTGTCTGTCATTCTCACAAACACACTGTCCTTCACTCTCTTCTCCTGACCCAACACATACGCAGGGGGTGGTTGTTACTTCTTTTACTGCTTGCAAAGTGGGTTATTTTTGGTTTTTGACTGGTCTGTGCATTTCATCATTTTCATCTCTCTCTTATGCTTAAGTGTAATTCTTTGAGTAGTGAGTTCTGAAATGCCTAACCTGTCATGGCTGGAGTCATTATCTCTATGGTAATTGCTGCTCCTGGAAGTGGCAGGTATGTCCCAGCAGTCCCTGAGAGAGGCAGTGCAGGGGTTTTCCACATGCTGTCTTTGCCTGCAGACACTGCACCCGCAGCTCCCATTGTTCAGTAACAGGGAACCATGGCCATTAGAAGCTGTGGGCACAGTGCATGTAGATAGGAGGCAGCACATGGCACCATGGAACCACTGCTGTACATGCCAACTGCTTTCAAGGAGTGGTCCAGGACTAGGGCAGGAGTAAGCCTGCCTTAACCCCACTGCTTTACCACCTGTAAGTCGTCTTAATTAAACAGTGCACAGTCAGAGCCTGCTTCCTGAACCCCTACCCCAGCCCTGAACCTTCTCCTGCACCCAACCTCCTGCCCCAGATGTGAGTTCCCCTCTGCATCCTCACCCTTTCCCAGAGCTTGCACCTGGAACCCCTCCTGGACCTCAATCCCCCACTCTGGGCTAAACCTGCAGCCCCTCCCAGACTCCAAACCTGTTGGCTCGAGACCAGAGCCTGTACAGCAAGCCTCCACCCCATCCTGGTGCAAGGGAGTGAGGATGAGAGAGGAAGGGGAATGGAGCAAGCAGGGTGAGGCCTCAGAGAAGGGGTGGTGCAGGGGCAGGGCCTCAAAGGAGGAAGTGGGGCAAGAGAATTTGGGTTTGAGGTAGATCTTACATTGAGGTTAAATTGAAAAAGTGATCTTGTGGTTAAAAAGGCTGAAGACCATTGCCCAATATATATATATTCCAAACAAAAATGTAGCTAATCTACAGTATTGGCAAGACCTTTTATACAGACTTCTCTTTCCACATACTCCTATCTTCCTTCCTTCCCCTTTTTGCCCAGACAATTCCTAGGCACTCCAATTCCCTGTCAAGATTCTAGCAATAATTGACATCAGCTGCTGTCTTGGGGTTGGCTCATGGTCTGGTACCTTGAATATTCACAAGGCTTCATGGCTGGAGCAGTGGGAATATAAACCCCATACAACCCAGTCTTTAGATATCCAGAGAAAAATATTGTAAACTCTTTTTTAAGTAGCCAAAAGACTTGTTTTAAGGAGCTTTTTGTCTTTTTTCCTGTTACTGATTCACATGACTACCAAAATATGTTACTTGGTTCCTCTGCAGGAACAAAAAAAAAACCCTTGCTAGTTCTGGAATCGCTTCAAGAATCCAGTAGTAAACAGAATAGGTACAGCTGGGTAAAGGCAAGAAAACAGCTGGAAGTCAGGGAACAGAAGGACAGGAGAACAGGAGACAGTACCACAAATCCCTGGCTACAAGCACATCCCACACGCCCATATTTAAATAATTGGCTGAATCAGGCAAAACCTCCAGCTCAGAGCATTAACTTTCAATATCTATAATGGTGGAGGTTTTTTTAAAAAATTAAAGTTTTAAGAACGTAAGAACGGCCACACCAAAGATCCATCTAATCCAGTATCCGGTCTTCTGACAGTGGCCAATGCCAGATGCACCAGAGGAAGTGAACAGAATAGGGAATCATCAATCAATCCCTCCCCCACCAGCCATCCCCAGCCTCTGACAGAGGCTAGGGACACCATTTCTACCCATCCTGGCTAACAGCCATTGGTGGACCTAACCTTCATGAATTTACCTAGTTCTTTCTCGAACCCTGTTAATACCCTGGTCTTTGCAATCTCTTCTGGCAAGGAGTTCCACAGGTTGATTATGCAGTGTGTGAAGTAAAACATCCTTTTATGTATTTAAACCTGCTACCTATTAATCTCATTTGGTGATCCCTAGTTCTTATGGATTATGTTAAACATCACCGTAGTAGTATTTTATCTTTAAAATATGTATTTTGCAGCTAACCTGGTCAATCAAGAATGCACAAGTCTGATGTGTGAACAGGCACACAATTACGTAAGTTTAGAATCCAACAGCCAAAATCA